TTTTTTTTTTTTTTTGGACTGGATGGCAGCATGATGGCTGCATTCCCAAGGTGAAGGGAGTAAGAGGAAATCATATGGAAAACTAGATTAATTTGCATATTTTAAAAAAATTGCAGTGGTTCTATACTGTAACAGTTGGTGCAATGGTTTTCTATTAACCAAAATGCTTTTAACTTAGTCCCCTTATACCTCTTATTGGCTAATTTTCAATCAATCAATCAATCAATCAATCCTTGAATCAATCAACCAACCAACCAACCAACCAACCAACCAACCAACCAACCAACCAACCAACCAACCAACCAACCAATCAATCAATAATGGTTGCCCGTCACTATTCAAGATGCTTGGACTACAACTTTTGTAATATCTTGACTATGCTAGGTAGAGATTATGGGATTTGTAGGCCAAACATATGGGAAACTAAAGATCCCCCATACAGTGCCTATAGGATCCTCCCCACACGCCTCAAGAGCACATCAATTAGATATCAGGAACTGGTCTGCCTGGCTATAGACAGGACCTGTTGATGTATGAACTGAACATGTTGGTACCCCTACCAGTTGGGCATCTACAACTAAAAATGGAATGAATGTGTCCATCCGAAGCTCTGCTTCCACATTAGGGTGTCAGAAAAATATTGAATAAACATCTTTGCCTGTTCGAAGCATGAATTATGGATGGAACTGACGGGTTATTTTCAGGTATTCAATTGGTCATGGTCCCAGTCAATGCCCTAGACAGAATTTAATATGACTTTGTTGGAAACAAGTTGATTAGTTCCAAGGCATGCTCGTATTTTCCATGCCAATTTTAGAAGACATTTCCATGGCAGGGCAACCATGTCTGATCATGCCTGCTGGGAAAGTTGAGCTGCCTTCCCTTGAAAGGTCGAAAGAATAGCTTTTTCCGTTGGATTTGCAAGGACTGTGTATCATAAAAGTCAGGACGGGATAAAACATGATAATGGAAATATGTGGAATGAGAGGAAGATTAAAAGCTACTAGACCTCTCATACTCAGCAGGAGATATAATCAAAATCGAGTGAAAAAGAACAGCACATTAATTATCTATTTGTCATTTTTCTCTCTCATCTGCCACTTGCTATTTTTAAAAGGAGAGAGAATTACTTAATTATAGCCCTTATTATGTACTGTGCTTGAGAAAATGCTTTTGATGCTTCTGTTAGCCTTTACTTAACTTTACCTCCATTTGCTTGTCAGCTTCTCTCAAGAGACTTGGGATGAAATCAATATAAATCAAAGGAAAGACAAGAAGCCTGCTTTTATTTCATAACTGTCGAAAGAGAGGAAAAGGTCACCCAGAAAAAAGAGATTCCAAAAGCTTAACTGAGACATGGATGTAGATCATGAGTTAACAGCATTTTTAAATAGTCTTACTTTATAGAAATACCTAATTCCTATATGGGAGCAGGTTATGTATGTATGTGTAATGGATTTGTTGCTTTGTGTGCAGAGAGATATTGCAGACACATCACTTTCTCACAAAATTTAGTGTGAATGCAGGCAACCCTCCACATATTTACAATCTAAGGGGCTCCTGGATGATATTTGCAAAGCGAGTCAAACTCTCATTTTCCGTAGGCATAATGTTATACGTATGTGGGGGTTTTGTTCCTCAAAAAGGTTCCACAGCATAAAAATACAGAAAATGTATCAAGTCACAAAACGGTGGGCAGTTTATAATGTAAATAGGAAAGGGGTGAAAGAGAGGGCATGGGATGTTTGTAAGCAGGTTTGCTTTCACTGATACCAGTGTCATGCTGAGATTGAGGTATCCCACAGTGGAAGGTCATGACATGCCGATTGCTCTGTGTATAATGTGGATAAAAGCAGAGTAACAACCATGAATGTTCTCATTATTGACTTTACTGTTAACAGTGAAGCAGTGAAAAATACTGAAAGGCTCTCTGTAAAAATCAGGAAAGGTACCAGAATTTCAGAACTGTCTATTCTGTTTGAACCAAGAATAGGTTGATTTGTCAAGCTAAAGCACCACCAGTTGAAGTGAATCATAATATTTTCCCAAAACATTTGTTTGTTTCATGTTGGTTTTGGTGTCAAAAATATGAATTACCATTTAGTTTATATAGGTGCCTTTAGTAGCTTTTTAGGCTATAAGTGAGTAAGAGATCCCTGTAATAAATTAAAAAAACACATGCGAATAGTAGGGCATCAATTCCACACTGATTCAGCAGAGTGATTTCATTCTTCTCCCACATATTAAGGCTAGCTTTGAATGCTACTTGAAAAGCACTGCAGGTAATTTGTTTCCATGATAAGCAGATCGCAATGTCATGTAATATAACATGGGGACATGGGCAAGGAAGCTGCACAGCCTTGTAGATGTGGCCAAATCTGCTCACGTTTCCCCTTCATAATTCATCAGGAGCACTGGAAGTCACATGCAAGAGCTGTTGAATATGGGGTCTGAAGAATTTGATGTTGAAGATATGTCTGTAATGGCCATGAGTTTCATGTAAAGCCTTTGGGATTTGCGCTTTATTGATGTCCGAGGTGAAAAAGCAATGCATCTGTCTTAGTCTATGGTTGATTCCTTTGTCTGCTTTCTTCTCTACCTTGCTCCCCCCCCCCATTCTTTTCACCTGCTTGAAGTCTTGTTCCTTTGCTATCATCCACAGGGACTATCTCCAAGATGGTTCTGGACTCGCACACTATACGGTTTCTAGCAAAGTTGTAGTGGCATGGCACTGCTGTGCATAAGAGAATACCACTGTTCTCAGAAGTGTGAATAAATCCTATTTGTTCAGTGCTGCCTTGGATGCTTCCTTCATCCATGAGAGCTTGGACATTGGAGCTCAGGGACAGTGTGTTTCCTCCTTAAAATACACCCCTAATTTTCTGCTCGAACTAGGAATGCCAGCTTCACTTTTATTTGGATTTCCCTTTTACCTAACATCAATACAGTATTTGTGGAAGCTAAACATGTCTAGTTTCCTAACATGTGATTAGTTCTACATGTAGCAACATGCTACCTAAACCTACTTATTAGAAACACCTGTGTTCCATTGTTTTCCTGTGTTCATGATAAAATATTAGAATGTGTGAACTGATGACAGCCTAAAGCCAAAGCAATTTTTTGGCTCTTTTTCAGGGGTAGGAGGGAAAAGATGCGGTCTGGTAAGTTACCTAGGTCAGTTGCTAACTATTTTACCTTTGAATGTAACTTTCTTCACAGTATTCTGAAGAGAAATAGTGACTAATTCTTAGTCATAACACTGACCTTCTAGTGGGCCATACAGGATATAAACAAATGTGGGAGATTCCATGGATTGTGGTTAGAGCAAAACACATGCTTATCATGCAGAAAAGACTGGGTTTCACCTACAAAAATTCCATCATGAAACATCAGGGTGCAGGTGAGATGAAAGTCCTCCAATGGAGAATCATTGCCACTTAGAATAAAGGTAAAGGTAAAGCTTCCCCTTGACATTTAGTCCAGTCGTGTCCGACTCTAGGGTGCGGTGCTTATCCCCGTTTCCAAGTCACAGAGCCCATGTTTGTCTGAAGACAGTTTCCCTGGTCACGTGGCCAGCGCGTTAACCTGCAGCACCACTGCGTCCCCACTTAGAATAGGTAACACTAAAATTGATGAATATTCTGAGCTGATAAAAAGCAGCTTGATGTGTTTCTAAATAATGTTCAGAAGTCATCACCTCTGCTCCTCAGCTTGATTTCTTTTTCCTTAACCCCTTGTGCTCACAATTCCTCTTTGCTATTTGTGCAAAAGGAAAAGATACTGGATTAAAAAAAACAAAGTGAAACAAAGCCAAAGGAAATAAAATCATTGTATTAACATAAGTTCATTTGAAAAAAGAACGTGAAAATGTATATTCTGCCGACTGTGTTTGGCAACAGGCCACAAGGTTTGTGTGAGAACTGGCTTGCCATCATACTCTTTCCTGTCAGAATATTAAATCAAACAGCAAAGCCAGTTCCTTTGGAGCAGCAGTAGCAGAAATTAAAGCTGCTCCAGGCACTAATTTATATACCAATATTTTTGGACGTACCCTTTCTCCTTTCTGTTTTCACTAAATAGAGGGTGCGAGTCACGACAAGGTGGATGGTTGCAATTTTTAAAAAGTTATCTCAGAGCAGCTATCTTTCCCAAATGCAGGAAACATAGATATTTTCCCCTGTGGTCTCTAAATTAGGCCTTTAAAAGCAACAAGAATTGGGTAAAACCTAATTCATTTTCCTAAGTGGTCATGAAATTTATATTAAAATATTTTTCATCTTTGGAAGAACATCTGGAGGGCAGGCATCAGTTTTTGGTGTTTTTCTAAAGATCTCTCCTTCATGTTTGACTAAAACTGAGCCATTAATCACTTCAAATTTCCTGTTCCTTCATGATGTTGTCATATTGACTGACAGTGTGTGGGTTCTAATGTTAATTTTCTTGGAGCCTTACCACACCCACAACTTTCCTGTAGGGGTGTAACCAAAGCCTGACAAGACAGTCAAGACACTAACTATGATCCAAAGAAAACAGTGCTCCAACTGAGGATTGAGAGGTATAAACTTTTCTGTGGCTGTTCAGGAGTTATGTCTGATGTAATTTCAATTTTATGAGGGGCAAAGCAGAATTATGATCATTACCCCTGCCTCCCAAGAGCCAGCTCTACAGGCGTAGACTACCTGGATCATTTGGGAATGTGATTTTACAGATTATCCCTCACATAGTAGCTATTTTACATAGTATTTATAGCTACTATATGAGGCAAAGTATGCCCTCACAGGGACATGGTGGTGCTGTGGGTTAAATCACAGAAGCCTCTGTGCTGCAAGGTTGGAAGAGCAGCAGTTGTAAGATCAAATCCACATAACAGAATGAGCTTCGGTTGCTTGTTCCAGCTCCTGCCAACCTAGCAGTTGAAAAGCATGCAAATGTGAGTAGATAAATAGGTATCACCACGTTGGGAAGATAATGCTGTTCCGTGTCTAGTCGTGCTGGCCACGTGACCATGGAAACTATCTATAGACAAACGCTGGCTCTATGGCTTGAAAACGGGGATGAGCACCGCCCCCTAGAGTCAGATACGACTGGACAAATTGTCAAGGGGAACCTTTACCTTTACCTTTAACCTATGCCCCCACACAGGTTATGTCTTACAGCAAACTATTACTGAATTGAAGCAAACCTTCCAAAGCAGTTTGTGAGAATGACACAGTAGTCTAGTATTCAAGGTAGTATATGTGGAAAAGTTAATGTCCAGTGGATGTCTTCAAAGCTTAGGCCATGGCTAAAGTAGCTCTTGGATTCTGACCCAAAACTGTGAGCGAACACAGATTGGGAACAAGACTACTGCCATGTCACCATGTTCCGAAACTGTTAATTGAATTCCATTTTTAAAATCCCGAAAAGGTCTTAAAGTTTATTTAACTCCTCTGCCAAAAATGGAAATGCACAGGAGACTGTTCACAAAATTTTTTTTTACTTTCTGCCCCACATCCACCAACAGTAGCTATTTCTGTGATTGCAGTAACTCCAAAACATGCTGTCACAACTGTAGAAAGCACTCCTGAGGGCAGTCAGGAGACATAATTTCTGCAGATGACTATGACTGGGAGTGCAGTTTGTGCAGAAGACAATGGAGGGATGGACCGAGCGCATGCCCCAGGACTGAGATTGCATCTGTTGCTGGGTAAATGTACAACTTCATAGAAGACAAAATCTATCTGAATAACAATCACATTTTAATATTTACAAAATGCTGTCCCTCACACTGGTCATAATCATAAATTCTAGATAACTACATCGAAATGTTGTTTAAAACTGTAGAAACAGAATTACATTCTTTGCATCACTTTCAAAAACCAGTTGCTAAGGATCTTGGCAAACAGGAAAACAAGCTAGTTGCAGGAGATTCATCCAAGCTGACAAAATATATAAGTCTTGCAGGCCTGGCTTCATACAGTGGTCTGCTAAAGAATCCTATCATCTTCCTCAGCTCATGTGGAGAAGTTTTGCCCCTCGTTGTCCTTTCAGTGTGTGAAGTTAAACATACAAGAGTGAAGGGGCAGAGCCTTTTTAGTGGTACCACCAATTCTTTCACATTCAGAACAGTATCCTGTTCAATATCTATATACACATGGAAGTCTAACTGCAGAAGTTATCACAGAGACTCGACAAGTTGTCAGTTGTGACCAGAAACACAACCAGCAGAAACACAACTAGTTTCCACAGTAGTTGTTCTTCATGTAAAAAGAATGAACAGAATACTTAACTGAATGCTTTTCTCAGGGAGCTCCACTATCTCACTTCATTAGGTGCCTTCAGCTGTTTATCAAAGCTTTGAATTTGTTCAGACTTAAATGCCTTAAACAACTTGGAAGACCACATTCTCTCATCTGCTGGCAGGCCAAGACCTTTTTATTTAAGCAGACCAACAGTAGTCCATGGCTACAAAACCACAAGATCTTAGCTGGTCTGGGTTTCTGTCTCTCTGTTTCTCTTTCGCTTTCTCTTTAAAATCAAAATATTATATTTTAATCAAAATATCTGTTTGAATGTTTGTGTCTTTATTGTATTTTAATCTTCTACTCCCAGTTCAGGAAGATAGGTGGCATATAAATAAAATAAATAAAATAAAATGAATCAGTTTTCACTCTGACAATCTGCTTTACAATTTTTTGCTGCTGGTTTTACTCTTTAGCGATTTTAAGGAGCTTCTAAATATTTGCAAGGTAAATTTTATGTCCTGAAACCAACTTATGTTCCAAACCAGTTGATTCAATGGTTTTACTCGAGGTGGGCCTAGAATCTGGATTTTGGTCTACAGCAAAGTGGCCTGCATATGCCCCCAGAGCAATTTTGTCATGGTAGGGCCATTCCTAGAATGCTTATTTTGGCCCCCCAAAAAAGAGGCATCTAAGTGCAGCAGATTTCTGCTCCTGCCCTTGGGGATGACCTCCAAAAGTCAACCAACCTTCAACAACCTGAAAATGCTCAACTAGGCATTTCCTATTAGACTTTTTAAAATGATCAACTTTAGGTATTTCTGGGCCTGGTGGGCCTGAAGTCTTGAATTTGGCTCCCAAGGTCTCAGATCTTACCCAAAGATCCTGTTGCTTTGGCCAATTACTATTAGAAAAGTAAGCTATAAACTCTGTAAAATAATGACCATTTGTTAACATGAAATTAAAATCTTCTTTATATGTTAAATGGCCATGTTGTATTTCCAAACCACAGATGACAGAGCTGTAAATAATCAAACCCCAAATTGTCAAGGGGAACCTTTACCTTTACCTTTTACCTATGCCCCCACACAGGTTATGTCTAATAGCAAACTATTACTGGGATGAGTTGCACGGGTAGGGAGCCATGCAGGTGTTCCTTCTCACCTGCAAATCACCCAAACCTGATGTTACAACAGTGGCGTAGAAATAACACAGGGTGTAGATGTGTGACTTGGTCATGTGACACTTAGGCTTTTTTATCTGAGAGAATCTAAAGCAATTTTAGAAAAGAAGTCCTGGATTAACAGAAGTCTTATCAACATACTTTATGTCACTTTTTAAAAAGGTAGTCATTATAGAACAAATGTCACCAGGAGGTGCCACTTTTATGACACTTCTCTGACATGTATGCATCAATCTCAAGCCTGATTTAGTGAGTCCCAGTGGCTTGCAGCAATGCTGAAATGCAGGGCCTAGTGCTTGCACCCTCCTGGCTGGAAATTCCAAATTTGCACAGCCACCATTAGAAATTATGGGTGCACTATTAAGCTTGTTTGAACTTACAATATCATGCAGCTGAATGGAACCATATTTCAACTCTTTCTGGAGAGATTTCAAAATAAAGACACCAGATGACCCCTGATAACTATCAGGAAAATGAAGAAGTGGACAAAGATAAGGCACATACGTCAATTTTTAATAATGCTACATACCTATTAAAAGAGAAGCTGTTTGCAGTTTGGGGTCATAAGGGCTTTTTCCTCTACCATTTTCAAAATGCGAATCTTCCAGCTTAAAAATATTGTCCTGTTGAAGAAGGGAGAAACAAATAATCTAACAAAGCAGTAAAAGAAAAAAAAACCCAGACCAGCACTGAACTGAATGCGACTTAACACACTGTACAATGTTCCAGGCTCTGTGTTAAGTACCATCAAGTGTTTTTCAACTTATGGCAATCCTGGTAGGGCTTTCAAGGTATGCGAGATGTTCAGGGAGGGATTTACCACTCCCGACCCAAACCCCATTGAGTGCCCATGTCTGAGTGGGAATTTAAACCCAGGTCTCCTGAGCCCTAGTTCAACAGTCTATCTACTACACTGCATTGGCGGTCAAGATCTATGATACTCTCCTATGTTTTATTAGAAAACATTTATGGCTCCCATTCTGTTTGATCAACCTTTACAAGTGAAATTCCAGCATCAGCAAATATTGTTTCCCTTGTAGCACCCTCACTGCAAGTTGGTTTCCTTCAAATTGTTACTTCAAAACCACTGTTTTTACAGAGGTCATCCTAAATCCACAGTCTCATGGAGGTGGTTGCCTTAATCTGTCCACATAATTTAGAATGACAGGCTGGACAGCCTGGAAATAAAATAAATGAAAAGGGTAGGGGGAGAATGTAGGGCAATATTAACAAAAGAGCAGTTGTCTGAATGTGTAGCTGTGGGAAAACACACACGTATAACACAAGGTTAATTTACATAGTATCAAAGTGATTGTTTCAGTTCGCATTAGCATGCCAGGAATTCATGTTTTCATTTAATTCAGTTTATCCATGTCATTACAGAACAGTAGGACTCACTTATTCAGATACCCCAAAAGGGTGAGCTGGATTGGAGAGGAAAGGCTTGAAAGTGGAATGGTGGTGAGGTTAAAAAATGAATTCAGGGAGGGAAGAGATAATGATTGATAGAAAATAAATTTATAACCACTTCCCCAACACCAAAAGAGATTGAGGACTTTTGGATAAGGGAGGAAAAAAAGAGACACTTTTGGTCCTTTAAAATCTATTTAGTTCATGGTCTGGTCTTCATCAGATGCACAGAGCATTGCGCTACATTGTAGGAGGTGACATTTCTGGTGTTTAATTCAGTCCTTTCAGTTAGATTCAATTTTTGTTCATTTTGGCACAGCTTATAAACTAACAGCATGTGCTATACTCTTCCTTCCCCATATTGCCAAAATAGTTGAATAATGAGTTACTATATTCAGATAACAGGATCCAAGGAGTCTTGTATCTCAGGCTGGAAATAATAGATTGTATCCTCAGATATTTCCTGGCATTTAAAAAAAAATCAGGACAGGACTGAATTAAAGCCTTTTGCTCTATATTGTGTTGTGTACTGCTGAGTGGGTTAAGCACTGAAAAATAAGAGAGTTGAATGCTGGAAGAACAAAGAAGCACCAGCCAATAAATATACCTTTGTTACTGAGCTACAGATGCTAACAGTTCATGTTGTGAGAGAGTAGTTTTTTTCCAGCCCATTCCCCCCCCCTCAAAACAAACGGAGATACCAAAGGCTGATATGGGATCCTCGACATGCAAAATGTGTGATCTGCCACATTATGTTCTCTTCCACCAAACTTTTGGACCTAAAATTCATCTAGAGATGAAAATCATGTAATCTTAAATTCCACTTACCGTGTTTAAAAGGACCCACTAGTCTGCATTTGCCTGGTGGCTGCCATTTTGTTGTGTGCAGAATTCCCTTCCACATGCATTCTGCACCAATAGTTCCCCTCCCCTTCTCACCATTTCAGGCCATTTTGGGAACAACAAAACCATGGAATCCAACTGAATATTGACTGGAGGAGAGACAGACCAGGCTTGCTAGCTTGGCAGTACCCCGTTCCCTGAGATTTCAGGTCTCACAGCACTTGTGATGTCACAGAGGCAGGCCAGAGTTCTTCCCTCCTGGCAAATGACAGGAGCACAGCAATTGCCTGTGACTTCAGCTATTGACGTGGGTCCCAGTCACCCTATGAGCTTCCCTCCAAATTTGCAGCATTAACACCTGAAAGATACTGGCAAGGGAGCCCCATTTTGGCAGTCTGCAAATAGTATTAACATTTTAAGGGCAGGAGGGATTCTGAGCCAGCCCTGATTTGTGCCAGGTACCTGAGATTATTTAACACATTTATTTTCAAATTCTGCAAGTGCTAGATGGCATATCTATCATAACAAAGAGGAATAAATATAGTAATCTGATTCCAATATTTCATAAGAAAGTTCATTCTTTTTAATATTCATTTGTATCCAAGGTGAAGAGTTGCATAATGTCAGTTTCAATGAATCATGATCAAAAGCCGAAAATTGACCAAACACAAACAGGAGGTATTTGTAAGATAACATGCCATTCGTTACAGGATGATTAGCTCGATACAAAGCAACAATAATCATGATAAAAACAATAAAGAAACTCAATCCTTCCATGTCTTATTGTGTTCATTTCATACTTGATGGGAAAAGAATATGAACATAACAGGAAAATATAATAACCTATGAAAATAACAGGAAAATAAATGGGTGTACAGTAGGACCCCTGTATCTGTGGGGGATTCGTTCCACAATGTACTGTGCATGCCTGAAACCACGGACAGTAGTGAATGCCATATTCAGCAGACGGGACAAAGGCCACAAGGTTCACTCCCTTGTATGTTGTATATAGGCCATGGAAAACTGAAACTGTGGATACTAGTCCCATGACTATGGGGGTCCTGCTTGTGGTAAAACCATGGAAAACTGAAACTGTGGATACCAATCCCATGACTATGGGGAGGTACATTATCAAATAGCTTAAAACACTCTTTCTCACACACCAGGAATTTCTCTCTCCTTCTTGTTTATTGTTTGTTTTTTCATATGTGTTTACTCTTAATTGCAGGTCAATATTATTGTGCACTTTTGTACCTGATCTACGTGGCCTCAATTTTCGGCCATGTGGGGCTGGTTCAGGTGAGCAATAGATTAACCAATTTGCAAGGCAGGCTGGGAAGCACCCTGAGGCAGGTGGATGAGGAAGAGCTACATATCTAAATACTTATCACAGCTGGTCAGCAAGAGAGGATTGTGGGAAGGGAGCAGACTCCCCTCAGCTATGGAGACTGTCAGGATGCTCTCTCACCCTGGTGGATGCCCTCTTGGATCTGTCTGAAGTGCAATATATATTGCAATTCATTACTGTTTGGAATGGGCCACTTGTGACAGATTGCTGGGAGTTTTCATAAAGTTGTAGCTTCTTCTCCTTATCCGCCTGTATGCTCGCCCTGCTTCCCAGAATGTCTTGCCAGTTGTCTTAATTCCAGGATATTGGTGCGGTAAGGGGGAAGGAGAGAATAGTCACTGTTCTGTCAACAGATTTAGTGTGCATTTTTCCCTTCAGCCACTCCTTTCTTCCTGACTATGTATGAGAGCAGTTTGGGAGTAGAGCTTGGCAAGCAGACATTATGAATGGTGCCTTGGAGCTACTAGGTAGGATATCTCAGCGATTCAGTACTCAAATTATTTGATTAGTGTGATATTCTGATTTTTTAAAAAGTGGGCTCACCTGTTGTTTTTAAAGGAACAGAGTGTTTAAATTTCAGAGATACAAGTTTAAATGAGAGTTAAGTGACAAATGGATCTTACAAAAATGCCAAGCATTCTTAAAGTACTTCCTTTTGAGTGCCCACAGTGATCCAGCAGAAATGGAAAAATCCAACCCACCTCCTCAAATATAATGTTATCCTCGATAGATTACTAAGGACGTCAAAAGTGCCACAGTCCTGGTATTCTAGACATAAGAAACCATCAAGAATATTAAACAATTCTCAGCAGACATGAAGAATTGGAGTCTCTTGGCGTAGCAACATTCAGGATTGTCATGTGTAATATATCGCCTGCATTGCTGTCTGGTTTATATACAGTGACCTTTAGAAAAATAAATGCTATGCTATCCTATGCAATGAGTGTCTGTTTTTTCCCAAGCAGCTTATTAAGTGAATTTCAAATGCAAGCAGTCCTAGCAACACACAATGATAAAATCAATTCAGCTAAATTCTTGCCTTATTAATCTCCTGTTTAACTACCCCCCTTCTTTTTTTAATGATACATTTTCATAAGGAATTGTAGACTAGAGACTATAATTGCTTAAACAGAGATGTTCCTCTTACATTAATAACTAATTGATACATGCTGTGAATTTGCAATAGTTTTCAGCTGTATTTCAGCATTCATTCTTTTTCTTCCTTGTCTTTTGAGTTTTCTATGTACTGTTACTCTACCCAGAGAGAGAGAGAATACACCTGAATCAGAGGAAATAATGGCTGCACAAAGACCAAGTTCCATGAATAATTGAATTTTAGTGATGTAAAGGCAAACAATCTTTGTTCAGCCTTGATTTAATCCCACAACAAATAATGTATTTCCAAGGATGCAATTTTATTCAGAAGTTTTGATATGACAGAAAATGGAATTTCAAGAGGAAGTTGAGGAGAGAAAAGTTGCAAAATGTACTGTACCTGCTTAGGACTCAAGAAACTGAAATAATCATTGCTTGAGACTAATCCACTAAAATGTCACATGAGTAAACCAAAACCATCTCTGAAGTTCACTTTGCAAGCAATAAAGTAGGCCAGGCTACAAAATGATTTGTTAAACAGCTATGGAAGTTGTCTCAGTCTGGTCTGTCAAATGTTGAATAATTAACTTATCTTAATAGATCAATTAAGACAATGTTACAATCCTAATATGCACCATGGGATGGACATTGTTAAGCCCAGGGCATCGCTAAATTCATACAGTACTTTAAATACAGAGATAACCCACACACAATGTACAGACAACATGGTTCTGATAGCCTTATGACCTTTCACATTAGCTTGGTTAATTACTCAAGGTGATAAGAGCTAATGATACATGAGCATTCACTACATTTTAGCCTCAAAGAGTTTACCACATCCAAGCATTGAAGACGTTATCTCTGAATAATGCAATACATGAGCTAAGGTGATCAAGAGCCCTAGAAACATCCATTCAATTAACTTAA